ATTCTGAATAGTGCCCAGTGACAGGACAAGAGGCAAAAGTCACATGGAAGTCAAAGTGGACATCAGAAAATGCCTTTTCACTGTGTGGATGATCCAACAATGGCACAGGTTGTCCAAAGAGGTTGTGGAGTCTCTAGCCTTGGAGATATTCAAAACCTAGCTGGACACGGTTCTGGGCAACTGGCTCTAGGTGTCCCTGCTTGAGTAGGGGGGTTGGACAAGATGACCTCCAGAGGGCCCTTCCAACCTCGGCCATTCTCTGATTCTATGATCCTTGCTGTTAGCACAAGACACATAACTGGATCACATCTTAAATTTTCTGCATGGCTGGGACACGTGCTGCTATCACAGCCCATCTCTCATACCCCAGCCCTGGGTGTGGCTGGTTGGCCTGGCCCATGCCTGGCCCATTGAGCTAGTGGTGTCATAGCACAGGGGAAAAAGAGTCTTGAGCCTTGTCCTTATCACTTAAAGGCAGCAGCAGCATAACCCCTGGTTCTTCTTTGTTGTGAAGATCAGATCTCCCAGCCTATGTTCCACCTCCCATTAACGTCCTTGAAAGATTTGTGTTTGTTCACCCTTTTTTGGGGGCTGTGGATTGGCTTTTGAAGGAAGACCATATCAGGAAAGAGCAAATTATGTTTCATTTTTGGTAGAGCTGTGCTCACTTCAAATCAAAATGGAGTTTAGGCTTGGGAGCTTATGTCAGTGCTATTCAGGAGCCAAAATTTTCCACAGGCACATTGCAGAGGATGTGGTTGCCTTGTCTCCAGCTCAAAATAGCAAAGAGAATGTAGACTCTTACCATCTTTCTTTTATGATGTCTGTTCTGTGTGGTAAGGTGTTGAGTGCCTCCTGGCAATTGCTGACTGCCTTTAGCTCTTGTTGGCTTCAGTGCGACATAGTTCCTGATGTATACCAGTGTTCCTAAACACGTTTCATGACTGACTTCAAATATCTGGTCCACTGGAAAGTCAACAAGTGAATTAATTTAAGCCAGTCAACTTCCATGAAACAGTAAATATGGAACTTCATTTAAATCAAAAAATACCTCCTTGGAGTTGATTGATGCATATGTTCTTTGGTTTGCTTTTCAGAAACCAGAAAGCACTTAAATAGTAGTGTTCTGCAGTGTGTCCCTCACCCCTTTTTGTAATGCAGTTCTGAAGCCTGGATATATTTTGTGGAGCATGTTGAAATCTTCTAATGAGACTGCCCATCATTTGACCTGTACTTCTGGTTTGACTGGCTTGCTGGCTATGGGTTACATGTCTGCTGCTCTCAGGATCTGTGAAATACTGTATTGAAATGGAAATGGCAGTGCCCTAATTTTTTTGTGGCTCTGGTTTTTGTTTTCAAGATGTTCCCCTTTTTTTCAAGACCTGTTCCCCTCAGCACAGATGCATAAAGAACATTTGTAACACTTGATCATTTTACTGCTTTGCCATTCATTTCTCTCTTTCTCTCTCTCTGTGCCACAAACTGACTTTTAAGATACATGTAGAACTATATCTGAGACAGTTACATATTATTTATTTTATTGCTCAATTTCAAGTTCTCTGGGAACAAGAATTCCAGAGGGGAAAAAATACAGTCATCACCCAGTAGTATATCGTGATAAACTGGTATCTGATGAAGGAACTTTGGTATTTGTCACTTTTAAAAGACAGATAAAATATTATGTAGCTCTATTTCCTACATTTGTTAGCATTCTTTTTCAACGGTGAGTTTTAAACTCTGACTGTACCTTCTGATCGTGCAGGCAATATAGTGTGGTAAACATGGTATACCTTTGTATAAAGTTGTTGATATGGTCCGCTTTGCACCTGTCCTGTGAAATAGCATTGTGCGATCAAAGAACCCTCTTTAGAAATAGTATGTAAATCTCAAGTTGTGAAAATTATGCTAAGAAAATAATTTTTTGAAAGAAATGCTTCTTGCACACAGTGATTGCTTCCTGTTTGTGTGCTGAGGCACATCTGAAATCAAAGACGGAACAATCTTTTCTAATTGTTTTTGGAATTGTTTTAATTGTGAAGTACAATTGAAATGGAAGGCAGGTTTGTTCAAATCCACGTTTCTACCCTGTTCTTAGGAGCTGAGCAGATTCTTCACTGACTGGTTGGTACCTTGTATCTTTCTATTTCTGAGGAATATAACACCTCAGATGAATTTTCTGACCTTGTCCTTGGATGGCTCACATTGTTCTTTTTTTATTCTCAGATTTTTTTAACTTTTAACTAAAAAAAAACCCTTCTATGCTTCCATGAAGTTGAAAGAACTGGGACTCCTTTAAACTAAGGGGTTTTACCAGTGCACCTTATTATTTGGGTCATGGTTGTGCTTCAAGGATACAGTCGTTCTTGTCCTTTGTATATAGTAAAAAAAGTTGATAAAGTTAATGGTTCAAGCATGAAATGAGCCAATATGCAGATTTAGTATTTCTGTGAATTAGCACTTCCTTCTTGATATGTACAGTGTAATTGAAACTGAGCACTGATGATTGTGAAGGTACCCGAATAAAGGAGACCCCTTTTAGCCTTTGGTGGTTAGAGAAGTGTTGTCCTCATCCCACCTTTATCCAAGAGCAAGATTCAATGCTTGCTGTGACTTCTTGTTGAGTCTTTGTACAGAATGAAGTTTCATTAAACTTAGTTTTCATTTTCTCATGAAAATAATAGATATGTGTCTTGCATCACTTCAAGTGTTCTCCTAGATTATAGGGTGAATGACCTGCTGATCTTATTCTGATTGTTGAAGTTATTCAACAGCTAAGTCAGACGACTTTTTGCTTAGCTGACATTAAGATTCAAGGAACCGAGATGGATGGTCTGCAGCCTGAGCCAGCATGGTTACTAGCTGCTGCCATCCTGCCTGCTCTGTCTTTCCTATCCTTTCCTTTTGTCTTAGCTTCTCCCTTACACTCCCTTGCTCACCTGACCCTGCCTTCTGTGAATGGCACGGTATTTCACTTTTCTGCTGGCTTAGTACACTGAAGTGTCTCAGCACAGATGAGTGGAGGAGCCAGTACATGACAGGGAGTGAAATCACGGTGGGAAGGAGATGACAAGGGCCATTCCCACTCATGAAATCATGGCTTAATGTAGACCTAGTGTATGGAGACATACATTGGACAAACACTTCATTAAAATTATCTCAGAATTGAAGAACTGAGCCAGAAATATTTAAATGCTGAATTCAGAGAGCATTGCTTTATTGTCTTCTAAGAAATGTAGCATCTCAGAAAGCTCTGCCATGCACAAGATGCAAAGCTTCGTGCATTTAGGACTCTCCAGTGGCTAGGCTGTGAGACCCAGAGAACAGTCATGGTACAGACAGAAGCACTAAACACACAGGATGTTACTATGATGTTACACTCCCAAACCAGAGGGCAGGAACATATTTGGGTAGACACAGCCTTAAGCAATACCATTCATTTTTAAAGGCACATGTAACCTCCATTGTTGGGAAGCATTGAGCATGATCTAGCCCTGCACCTCAAAGTCATGTCTTCCCTGCCCTGTATCTATTTCAAAGGTGGGAGGAGATGTAGGCTTACTGTAATGCAGAAGACTGTCAGTGGCTTGGACTGAGGATCACTTACAATGCTAATATCAACTACTTGGACTACCACGGTAAAAATAATGGAGCCAGACCAGATCTAACAGTAGCTTAGCCACTTGTGTGGGAGAGAATCCTGGAACACTGACTTTTCTCTTTGGAGCCACCTTTTTGAGCTAGTTCACTGTTGTGACATTGATGTGGCTGTTTATATGGAGTTTGGCCAAGATCACAAGTTTTTGTGACCTTCTTGTGAAATTCTTATGTGTATATAGAGCTTTTGATTGCACTTGAGGATGTGTATGTTTAGTCGGTTCACTTAGAACTGAGCAGGTGAAACTCAGTTAAAACTACAGCAGGAAGAATCTAAGCCATGTTGTTGGGGTGTTGTTTGTTTTTTTTTCCCTTTTAATCTTAAGGAAATTATTCTGATAATCGATGCAGTTGTTTAGGAGTGTCGAAGATGAGTGTGCGGGAAAGGATGCTGCAGTCTTGAAGTGCTGGCTTACTCAGATAGTTTTTTTAATATATTGGAGAAACACTTAAAATATGAATCATTACTGCTCCTGGCTGACTTCGGATGAATGAAAAATTACAGTGGCTGAAAGCACGCATTGACAAAGTCTGTAATAAGAAAATATTCGGGTATATCCTTGGTAGATTTATCAACTAGGCTAGCCAGGCTGGTAGAAGCAGCAAGATTAGTAAAATAAAAAAAAATAGTTCTAGATTAAAAAAATAAAATAGCTGTTGTCCTTTGCAAGCCTGCAACTGAAAGTTGTACAATAATGCTTTATAGTTTTATGTGACAATTTTAACATATTAAAGTTTTATAACTGTTGTATTGGGGGTGGGGTGAATTAATCAGTTCCTCCAAATGTTTATATTATTTGCAATGAAACTACCTTATAGTCTGCTAATACTCCTGCTCTGTAGGTGGTAGAAAGGGAAGGGTAAAACTGTTAGCTCAGTTGCAGCCAGGTCCTCCAATTTGCATGTGAGAACTCACTAAATGGAACTAAAGGCACATGTGTTCAAGGGCACCTTAATTTTTACAGCTTTCAGTGATTTCCTTCTGAAAGTCCGTGGGGTTTAGATGTGTCAGTTGCTGGTGCAGCTCCAGACATTCAATGCTTCTTCTCTATTTGAGACCTCTTGTATGGTATAGAGACTTCTTCAGGTTGGATTCTTCAGGCTGAAACTGCTGCTTGCCTTTTAGCAGTTGGTTCTTTCCCCCTCTTAATGGTTGTTTCAGCTCATTTAACAGCGAATTTTAAAATATTATTGCCATGCTCGTTACTTTGTCCTCCATTTTGTTGGGACCGTCCAATTTACATTAGATATTTGTCTTCTAAGTGCCATTTTGTTGTGTTTAAAATCATCTCCATGGCCCTCTGAGCACCATTGTAAAAATCTTTAATGTGCCTTTTGTCTTTCAGATCTCTCTACTGGTTGGATTCATCAGTGTAAATAATTATCCGTGGACGGATAACAGTGCATACAGCTACTTTCAGATAGTCACCATGTGCGACTTGGTTATGATTTTATTCTTCTACATTATCCACATTTTCAGAATCTACAGGAAGCTCACTTGCGTTAGCTGGCCACTGGCGGTAAGCCTGTTAGATGGTCTGGGTTCGTTGCTTCTCTTGTGGGTTGATGTCTTGATTGCTTAGTCCGTTTTCTTGTGCTATTACACAATGGTAGGCTGTCTTTCATGTAATTTTTTTTTGCCATGTATACGAATCCTTTTGTTGCTTTTGTTATTAGTATTCAGTTCAGCAGATTCTGTAATTGTAGGTTTTTTAGCCAATTTGGATCTGATCCTGTCCTTCTTTACACAGATATGAGACCTGATTTACTCCAGGGAAAGCAATAGCGTTATTCTGAGACAACTGAAAAGAAGCTACTGATTATAAAGCCTTCAGCAGACAGGTCCTAGCACAGGTCATTTATACCAGCTAAGGGATTGCTAGAGTTAGAATCATAGCGTTAGAATTCTTGTACTACATCCTGTTCTAAAATAAAGTCTATGAGTGCTATTTAAGTCAAATGTGTCTCTTTTTGGTATGGTTTTAGGTAACTTAAACAATAGCAAGAAATATGGGCCTCAACCTGAATGCCATAGCCTGGCCGTTCCTGGGATATCCTGCAGGATGTTCCTGCCTCATTCTTGCATTTCCTCTGCACATCCATCTCTCACATCCTAGCAGAGAGCTAACAAGCAGCACAGAAAATGCAAGACCTGAACTTCCTCAGTAGCTTTGGGTCAGGTCAGCTAACAGAAGAGTCCTGCGTCCTAGTGTGGGATGGTGGATTTTAATAACCTCTTAGAACACGTCTCACTTACGCATAGTGACATGTTAGTTCCAGAGAGGAAGGACCAAAGAGATGGGGAAAACCAACTGGGGCGATATAGAGGGATTTTGAAGTCCAAGTAGTTGGATGGTGTTTAACAGAAGCTATGTAAGTAGTTTAAATATCTAAGGTAATGGTTTGTCCATCCATCCACTTCCTAAACAGAGAGAAAAAATTAATTTTCTTTTTAGCTGAAGAATATGGTTAGACTTGCACCCTTTTTTCTGTTTTTAAATGCGTACCACCAGTATCTTTCTCTAGAAAGTACTTTATCTAGAGATAATACAGATGCAGGGATTGAAATAAGGGATTGACATAAGCTAATAAATGACAGTTTTGCAAAGCAGCATTTAATGTGTGCATTGCTGCAACAGGACTATACCATTTTGACATCTGCATAGGCTGCTTTTGGTTTTTTGTTGGGTGTTTAATCATTCCTAAATGTTCCAGAGTTACTAGTGAGTTTAAGGCACTGCAGTTTGTGGCTGCTCAGCTTTGGATAGCTTTATGGGATGTGATGCTTGAACACTGCTGCTCTTTTACAACCAACCTCCTTTTCAGTCACACACTTAAGTATGTTTAGAACAGAATAGGAAGACCTGTAAGAGACTTTGGGCAACTACAGCTACTGTTTGGCTGAATTTCCTGGCAGGATCTCTACATTGCAATCAGGGGTGTGATTTGCAGTCAGTAAAGTTGCAGTGGTTCAAAAGGTTGTTCAGCACTGACACCTTTTAAAGCTGGAAAGTGTTTCTCCAGAGGGCCACTCTCCTGGTCCTGCCACGGGTTGGTTCTCCAGCTAATTTTAGCCTTTGATGATTTTTTTGCACCTTTGCTCATCCCTCGGATTCCTCTAAAGTAGTGGCCTGCTTTATTTGGTGTCTCTAAGGAGGCAATAGCATGCCTAATTTGCCTGCTGTATGGTGGACTAGCCAGAGAAGCCTCCTTAGGGAAATAATTTATTCTAGCAAAAGCAAGGGTTGAGATCTTGATTACCCGAAACAAGGTTACAAATGAGGAAAGTAGGTTGCAGTCTCAGAGCCTACTTTATGGCAAAGATCCTCCTCAGCTGTTTATAAACACCCGAGCAGAGGGAAACTGTGGTATATGATAGACCCTCTCTCTTCTGGGATTTGCTTGAACAATTTCCTTTTGGGACTGTATTTTCTCTCCTTTGGTTAGAGACAGAATCTCTCCTCTCCCTTATACATGGCATTTGTTTGGCTCATGCTGGTAGTGCAATGCAGACAAAGTAAGCAGATACCCCCCTGCCCGCCCCACCATGCCAAAGAAACAACCATGTTCAGTTTGCAAACACCCATATTGGTTGCCATAAGCTTTGTGAGGATTCAAAATCTAAATCCAAAGATTCCTTCTTATAACAAGGTAAAATTGACTCCTGGACTGATACTTGTTAAACTAGGGAAGAGTGGTGAACTAGAGAAATGTGGTGCCTCAATGGTCTCAGAAAAACCTGTGGCATCATGTTTTACTGCGGGACAGCTGCAGCCACTTACAGACTTAGGAGGCTTGGTGTTGGTTATGACGTAGTTGTGCTTTTCGTGGCTTCCCTCCTGTTTCCAGTCTTGGTTGATGTAAGTTGTTAGTAAATCCAGCAGTAGATCCACTGCTTAATTTCTAAGATTATCAGAAGTAGGAGCGTTTCATTTTCTACTTAAGCCATTTGTTACCATTTATTGCCATTTCATATAGGCTAGAGAAATATGCCCTTAAGGCTTCTTCCTCCAGCAAGGTGCATACTCGATGCAATAAAGATACGTGTTTCACCCTCAGTAATGTATCATGTTGAATTGAAAGGACTGCATCCATACCCAGTATGTAGATCTTATTCCAGTGACGTTAGTAGACCTGAAGATTGGCCCTCTCTCCGTTTTTTTTTTTTTTAATAAAAAGTCAGGTATAGTACAAAATCCAATCCTGAGGTGGTTTTTTTTCTCTTTTTCTTAAGCTTTTTTATTTTTTTTTTCTTTTGACTGGTGTTTTGTCCTCTGCCAAATTGTTTTTATTCTGAGGCATATCAAAATGCTTTCCCTGATAAGTTTGCCTTCTGATGCAGGCTGTGCTTGTCTTTACAGGAGTTTCTTCATTATTTAATTGGTACAATTCTGCTTCTTATTGCATCGATTGTAGCAGCATCCAAGAGTTACAATTTGAGTGGACTTGTGGTTGGAGCGGTAAGACTATGTTTATTAGTCTTGACACTTTTTTAATTGCAATATATAAAGTAGGGCATTGGAAATCTATTGCTTGTAATTTTTTTTCTTACAGACTTGCATTGCTAATGTCTTGTTGGGGAACTACCTTCTAGCTTATTTCAGTGAATGTTCTGTAACACAATGCCAACAAAAATATTTTGTTGTGAGACTCCAGATCCACTACTGAAGTAGTATTATTCACAAATACTGAAGTATTTGTCCTGTGAGAGAGTTGAAACCAAAGGCTCCTGCTTTAACTGGTAGGAACTAACGTGTTTAGGGGAAGAACTGACACAATTCAGTTTTGACAAATGGCTGTGGTAGAGACTAGAAGTTACCCAAAGGATTTCACCCCAGTCTTCTTTTTTTGATGCCTCCTGCTCCTGAACAGAGTCCTGTTCAAGATAATTTCTCCTGAGCTAAAACCCACTGGGATCCTGGGCTGGCTTACTGGAAGATACTGTCTGCCTCTGTTGGCTGGAGGCCTTTATAGACAGACCTGACTTCTGAGTGTGAGCAACAGTATTTTCACAGTAGCAGGACCTGAAATACAACTCCTCCAGAATAAAGAATTACTTTCAGAAACTTAGTCTTGATGATGCAAACGGACTAGAAGACTTACCTTTCTTGTTTATTTGACAGATGGCAGGGAAAGACTTGTTTGAATGGGGCAGTAAAAGAGCAGTAATCAGAGGTGTTAGAAAAAGTCTTTTCTTTGTTGCAGAATCCTAGTGAGAAGTCTAGAAGGTGAGTCTTTATGCTGCTGTCCAGCTTTTTATCCTCCGTTGTATATGACTCTCAGTGTATCTTTCAGTCATTGTTTTGACAAGACATAAGTTGCTATTATACTACGGAAACTTCTATTTTTTTAGTATATTGGCAGAATGGAGTATTTGGGCTTGTTAATGTCATAAAATATGTAGCTCGATATACAAGAGTGTCCATACCTTCATGGAATATGTGTCATCTAATGTTCTGTAAGCATTTGTGGTTTGTTTGTTTTCTCATCCAGACTTTCGGGTTCCTAGCTACGATCCTTTGTGTTTTAAGCATATGGTCATCCTACAAGGTTTCGTGCATCACGCAGTCAACAAGTAAGTATCATGCTTAGTAGCTGCCAGAATGCCTCCCAAAATGAATATTTATATTTTCTGCCACAGGTCTGAGTCTACCTGGAAGGATTTATTAATGTCCTGTTCCTTGTTATTCAAAATTACTCACAAAGCGATTATTCTGTATTTTCTGTCAACACAGACATATCACAGCTACTGACAACTGTTAACTGACTACAAGAGCAAAATAACTTGCTTCTAACAAGTAGTGAATGTATCAGTGTTTTCTTTTCTCCCTGCCCCACCCCCTACCAAAAGAAGATTTCTTGTGTGTTTCTTAATCAAGTAGATTAATTTGTTTGTGGCAGCGCAAGTGACACTGTCTTTCTTTTCAAAGATGCATCTGTATGACTCCTTCATCTCTGCAAGACGTCTGCCTTACAAAATAGGATACCAAAGAGGAGTGTCCACTACTGAGGAGAGAGCATGGGTATTTTGTTACTAGCCTGGACAGCCAGTAGCTTTTGAAGATCTACTTGAATACCTGTGCAAAATGATGTTTTGAACCAAAGTTTTTTTGCTCCCCCCATGCCCCCCCTACCCCCCAAAAGAAGTTTATAATGGAGAACATGCTTTTTATGAGCTTTACAGAGAAAGACAACTTCTGTCGCACAAGCTGGGCTGTGGTTGTTTCAAGCTATTTGCAATAAGAGAATTTAAAACTCATTTGGAGAGTCATTTGGTTCTCCTTTCAAGAGGGATGGAAAAAATGCTTCTGATTTCCTCCATCTGTTTACAGAAGGGAAATCCTACAAATTCCTACCTGATTCTTAACTTCCAAGGATGATTTGTTTAACAAAGGAACTGTTACAAACTGATTTGTGCCTGGATAAGCTGACCCAAGTCTTTGTTACCTCCTTCTATCAGAACTGTGGACTTCCAACATCAGCTCAGCCAGCATCAACAATTATGAACTGCAACTTGAATACATCACTGCAAACACTCCCTCTTAGCCCCAACAGTAAATGATTAAATCAGGTTTTTTTTTCTTAATGAATTTTTACAGGTTATTAAAAATGAAAGATTATTCTTAAAAACTTCCCTCTGCCAAATACAGGAAAATACGTACCCAAGAATATCTATATAATATTTTGTGGGATCTTTTTTTTTCCTTTTCACAAATACTTGTTTGTTAAATGGGTATTTGTAAGACCTGTTCTGGAGAAAATTTCTGTACATTTCCTATAAATTATTCTCTTTGGAGTCTAACAGTGTTTATGGAAAGCCCATTGTGAATGGAGCAATGTGCTGCTTTTTCTCTCTTACATGTGTTTTTTTCCCTTCCTCTGCCTCTGCTGGGATCCACGCTTTTGGAGACTGCCCAGACCCTGGACAGGCAGAACAGTTCAGTTTTGTCCAACCTGGTCTTGTTGTCAAGTTCTATGTAACTTCGAAGCTGAGAAAATGCCTTCTTGGCACCTTTGTCTTTCTCTCCTTTTGCAATCCGTCTTGGGTGAGATGGAAATTCTTTGCAGGAAAAAGGGAAGTGCAGGCCCTTCCTCCTTGGTGCTTCCCCTTTCATGTCTAGCTGTGAAGTAGAACTTGTAAGTTGGGTCTTTTCCGTCAGGACAACTGCATGATGGTGTGGTGGGTTTCTGCAAAAAGTAGGATTTATACAGTTTACCAGGTCCGATCTGGAGGAAAAAAAGCACTTTCTGGCCTGCTGTACATTTTTCTGTTTGTCTGAAATTCTGCGTCAGTACTGCTAAGTAATTTAATGGTCCTCTCAGAAAACTTTGTGCCTCGTAGCAGGTCATCATACATTGCAATTTGTTGCCACCCTATTTTTTTCTCTCATCCTAATATCCTTTGATTTTATTTTTTTTACTCTTTTACAAGAGAAATTTGCCTACTGCTAAAGTGTCAAAAATTTTGAATAAGTAAATTAAAATAACTGAGCAGATAACCTGGAAAGGTAGAAATCCCCTTCCTTGTGGTGCACAGTTTCTGTGATTCTTCTTGCTGTTTCTTTTCATAAGTGCCCTACTTCCAGCAACGTAGAGCAGGAAACAATTTGAAAGTGCACAAGTCCGCTATTTGTGGATGAGGAAATGTATATTCACTCCAGGATAAAATGCTTTCACATTCATATAGAGGATTATTCAAATAACATTATAACTGCCTGTTATATAGTTTTATTAATTTCATATTGACTGGTTTTTATTTCTTTACAATGGCCAACTTTGGCCTGCTTTTCTGCCCCATACCTTCAGATGACATATTTTGTGTTTATTCAGAAATGGCTCACTTTTTTCTTTTTAATGACCTGAACTGAGCATGCCTCAAAGGCTCTCTGACTTGAGAGACATCCTTCTCAGCTAGAAATCCACTGTCAGCAGTGAATGATGGTTCAGGCTTTCTTGCCCTGCCAGCACAAGACCAGTCCAAAGGAAATACATGACAAGGGACTTCATTCTGGGCACATTGAGTGAAAATACCTGCAGAAGAAGGTGTACACACACACATGCACCCACATGCACACAAACACACACACATATGCTTGATCACCAGTCTCCTGCCAAGACTGACTTGACTACAGTTTTTGAAAACCAGCACTCTGACTTTAATTTGGACTGACGTGGTAGATACTTAAGGATACAGCCTCTTCTATTCCTCCATGGGAAAGAAAAGCGCTCTACTGCTCCTTTACCTCCTGAGATACCACCTCCAGTAGATAGTAGGCACATCCCTACAAGCTTTAAACCCTCTTGGCAATCTTGTGGAAAACCAATGTTGTGCTGCACACAGTGTGAACGCAGCTGAGCCCTCAGTGCTGCAGTCGCAGTGGGAAGAAGCACTTGCTAAGGATTGGGGCTGGAGCCGGAGCTTCCTCTGAAAAAAAGGCTGTTTCCACTCTCTGCTGGAATTATGCCCCCTCTCCTGGCACTACACTAGCATCTTTTTTCCAGCCTCCCACATCACTCTGTCGCTTGTCGCCATGTGGGGGGAAAAAAAATAATTAGGGTGAATTTCATGCAGTCTGACAACCAAAGAATTTCTGAACGATGGTCTGTGATCATCCAAAGAATATGTTTTGCTGCAAGTGCACTTGTTTATACTGGATCAGGAGAAGTAAATTACAAGTACCCTTTTGGGTTTTGTGCCTATTGACAGGTCTAAGGTATGCCTGCAGCTTTTGCTGTTATGACAGTGCTGGGTCCATAGACCCACCAGATGCTCTTAATGTGGGATGCTTTCAGGCTGGAAAACTGACATCTCTGCTGCCAAAGCTTCCTCACCACCCCAAAATCCTCCTTGTGAAACATGTCTACCAAGAAAAGCACAGGTTTTGCTGGTATCACCAGCTCTACCGGGGGTCTTTGAATGACAGGTCTGTCTGACAGGGTCTTTGGCTCCTCACTACTGTAGCTCTGCCAGCAAAAGTGTTTAAGTTTCCTTCCGTGTCAGCCTGGTTCTCAAAGCTCCATCTGTCTGCAACTTTGTCAAATACGGGATTCCAGCTGTTTTAGAAATAAACTGAGTTCGCTATTTGGATGATATAACGGCTTTGAGACTCAAATTGTTGTCTTGCTCATTTTTTTCCTTCCTCCACTAGAGCAGTGACTTTCTGGGGAGTGTCAGAATACATCCTGGAACTGGAGGGCAAGAGGTAGGAGCCACAGAAAAGAACTGTTCCGGTGCTGTTGTGTTTGGTTGTGCTGGTCTCTGACTATCCCACCCAGAAGTTGTCCATCCTCTTCAGCTCCAAGATGAGTGTAGTACATCCTTTGAGCCAACACAGGTAGAGTTTGAGGTTCAGTTCTACAGAAAATTAAAATGTAAATGATGGGAGAAGGAAATAGGTAGTGCAGACTGTTTCATACTGCAAAAAAAAACAACCCAAAAACTGATGTTTGAGCTCTGGGGACTTGAGATAAGTTCAAGAGTAATTAATGCTTTTGTTGGGCAGAAACTGGGAAGATGAGAAGAGGAAACAAAACTTTTCAAAGCCACCCTTCCTCTTTTTTTAAAAAGCTTGAGGACCACAGTGCTGGATGAAGACACTGCAGGTTATGTGACAGCTTGCACGCTTTTTCTGTTGCTCTGAAATTGTTGTGTTTTGCATTGTGTGAACTACAAAGGAATGGGTTCTTTGCTCCTAAAAGGGTTTGGGAACAAATCACTATGTGGAGTATAGAGGGGATAGCAGGACACTAAGATAATGATAACTTTTAGTGAGGGGAGGGGAGGGTGAGGGTGTTGAGTGATGCTCTAGGGAAGAGGACTAGGAGCCTGTTAGGAGAAAAAGGATCAGGAGACAAGGAAGAGCAGGTGCAAACATTAGTAGAGGAGGAACTAATGTTGCATACAGTATGCACTAAAAGAAATGCTGGCAAATATCAACAGTTTCTGACTGCATCACTACTTAAAGGGCAGACCTGCCTGGAGTGATAGAAAAGTTTCTTTTCTGCTTGCCTGCTATGTACACTTCATATCCCATGTCTGGGATTTTCATGTTCTGCTAAAGCTGTGGGAGGATGCACTAAACCAGAGCCAGAGGCTGCAGAAGATGGCATCAAGTTGTTACATGTTCTGCCCTGTTTAATTTAAAATTGCTTAGGGCTCCACTGTTCTTAGAGACAGCATGGAGCAAAACACTGGTGCTGAGAGTGAGACGCTGTGTGCTAGCCAGTGACCTTGGCCATCCCTCTGGCTAGGGGCAAAAGTACAGACCCACTTTTAGACTATGTCACCTGAAAGCCAAAGAAAGCTGGAGTTAGTATTGCTGGGCCCTGCTGATGAGCTTGACACTGGGGTGGCATCCAGGAGGTGCTGGTGGTCATGTGAGATGGGGAGAAGCAGGTACCAGAGAAAGGGTCTGTAGGAGGCTCACATCCTGTTCTTTCTGCCTGCAGATATTTACACCCAGGTGGGAGGAGAGAGCCCTCACCACAAACCTCTAGGGTATTTTTAAGCAACCCTTCTGTTTAGGCCATTTTAGTTTTCAGACTGGAGCGCAGGTGCAGGCGCCGTGCCCGTGGCTTGCCTTTTGCTCCTC